ACAAAGCAAAGAAAGTGAAAATAAAACCTCTCATTCTGCTAAGTTTTCAATGGAGACAAACTATAGATTCAGAGTGGTGCAATAGATATTCATATACATGACTTGATGCACGTGGCACATACTTGACCAAATGAAGATGCAAAGTGAAAAGTAGGATGTATCAATTATGGATAAAACGTTATATGAGAGATGTGTTTACCAAATGCATTTTAGAGGTTTTAAAGTCAGGAGAAACTTTTGCATGTATAGTTCATGCTTGTAGATGTGCACACGTGCTCATGGGATGATGTATGCTTGTGCACATGGAAGCCAGAATTTGACTTTGTGTCTCCTACATCACTCTCTGCTTCATTTTCTGTGGTGGAGCCTTTCGTTGGGTCTAGAGCTCATCCACTAAGCTATCCACCTTATCCATGGTTTCCTCCCAGATTATCTTTTCCTCCTGCACTACACCCTTCTGGCTTTCATGTGAGTGGCAGGGATTCAAACCCTGCCCTCACATTTTTTATGCATTAAGTGCTTATCCACTGATCCATCACTTTGGCCCCTGAGAAATATTTGTAAAAAATTATCATCTAAATCCCTCATTATATGTTCTTTTTTTTTTTTTTTTTTTACAAACTATTTTTGGTTTCTTATTTTCATAGTCAACATTATGTGTTATTTGAAGCTAGGAGAGGAGGTACAGGTTCAAACCTCACCTTTGCCAATAACAGGGACAAGAACTTGGTATAAATCACTTTGTCTACCTCAGTTTCATTATCTAAAACATGAAGGAGAAAAAAAATTAACTGCTCAAGAATAGCTATAATAATTAAGTTGCTAATTTCTGCAAAACTTTAAAAGGGTTATCGGTGCTGTGAACAGTAGAAACTATCACTTTTCTTATTTCAGCTTGGACTCATCATCACATTTTCAGCCCCTCAAATAACCTACCAAGATAGTTTTTAACAAAGTACTTCTACCATAAAAGAAATTCTGGTGCCAGACATTACGGGAATACATCCTTTGAAATATTTTCATTCTATATATCCTCTGTAAATCATTGATATCTATTGCTGTAGTATTGATATCTAGTAATGTAGTGGACATAGAACAGGTATTACTGATGTGCTGGGAGCAAACTGAAGAAAAGCAGTACCTCAATATATGAAGCAGGATGCTATTGGGTTTATGGTTAGAGGATGAGTGATGTATAGTTTATTTTAAAGATTTATTAAATGAGAAAAGCTTTTCAATACTAAGTATAATATCAGAAAAATAATTTATGCTGTGCCGAAGCATATAAGCACTAACATGTAAAGCAACAAGTTTTACATATGGTAGTGACATGAAGTTGCTTTTTATCCTTAGTGATGTTTTGAGCAATCATCAAGATTTAGGGACTTGAACTTGCTTCTGTATAACAGTGTGTCCTGTATAGCTTTGTTCAAGGGCATCTCCTGGATAAAGGAATAGCATGTGAACAGTGACGGCAGAACATTTTAAATTTAAAATGTGACTATAAGTTCTAAAGAGAAGAGTGTACATGAATGAAGAAATCTAGAGTATGATGATAAAAAACTCAACAATATACTATTTGTAAAAAATTATTTAATATTCATTTGTTAATCAAAAAGTTAATTTGGTATATGATTTTTGTAACATTCTATGTATATAAAAGCTAATAAGTTGATTTGGTTATAATTTCATCACATTTTAAAAATATTCTAGATCCAAACTGAGACTGTAATTTTTTAAACATAATCCCACAATAATCATGAGTTTAGTTAATGTAAAACAATGATTCTGCTTTAAACCCCTTAGCTAAAGGCACATTAAGGAACAACAGATATTCATAAAACAAAATATCCATGGAGCAATAGTGACACAAAGACAGTTATTGAGTAAAGTGAAACTGAATGCACCCAAAGTTCAGCCCTTGTCTGTATTAATTCACAAGCAAAGACTGATGTATATCCAAACTTTAACACACCACTGAACGGTAGTCTTGCTATGCCATTAGAGTGGAAGGATATACACATATCAGGATAAAGATCTTCTGTGCTATTATGCCACCTGCCAAGGGCCACTTAGGAATCTCGTTCACTTCCTTGTGTTTCTGTTTAGAAACTAAAGCCCTATGTAGAGGGAGAAGTGTATTGCCAAAGTTTAGTATTGAAATAGTTCTAAGTAAAATCTTTCTACCAAAATTAGAAAGGGAAGTAAAAGAGAAATATATAATGTCTGAAATTATATCCACCAAACCTGGGCAATATTTAGTGAAAGCTAATGGATATATTTTTTGAAATATTGTATGTTTTATCAGTCTTAATAGTATGAAGTTTCTCAGTGGGGATATTTTGGAAAACTATATACATATTCAGACATAAGGGTGTTTCCAGAGGAAGACATTAGAAGGGAGATAATCAAAGAAAAGAGGCTGAGGAGAATGAATCTGCCTTGCAAAAGGCTAAATTACCCATCAGGTACATGGAATAAAGTATCCTCCACTCCCCACTCCCCCAAAAGAGCCCAGTGACAATTTACAAGGATATTTTTTACAAGCTAACCATATTTTCAGAGATAATGGAAGTTGTTGAATTAAGTGCCAGTAAATTTTGTAGATGAACTTCTGGTCTGATTATAAGGAAATATATATATATATATATATATATATATATATATATATATTAGTCACAGTTTCTATGAAGAGGAAAAAGGTTGTTCTCAGCATTCTATTTTTATATTATTACTAGTGTGGTTGGTCTCAAGGTCATCAGGCTTATATTTATGACATAATGAGACAAATATCACAAAACTGGCAATTTCTTCAATTACAATGTGGTAGAAGGTTTAAAGCTACTTTTTTAATGATCTGAAATTGAGTATCTATTCTGCATTCTTATTAATAAACTACTATTCCTCTGTAGGTACCAGCATATTTCTGCATTTTAGAATGAGAGAATGAACAAAAGGGTAAGGCAATTATTAACACTTCCAATCCAGATAGGAAGTGACCAGGCACAGAATGCTGGACTAAACCACGGGCTCTGTGGTAAAATCCAGCCTACAGCATCCAGTGCCATCTTGAATTTCTGTGAATTGTAGTCTTATCTAAATGGATGCTCTTTGTAAAATTATTTTAAATATATAATATTGGGATCCTTTCCCCACCTACCTCCTCTTCCACAGCTTTTTCTTCCTCAATGCCCAAATGGTACTCACCCTGGTTCCTTTCTTTTGCTTTCATTATCACAGGCCAACCAGGAGACTAAAATGGCACAAAGCAATTAAAACTGGCCCTGCTGAAGTCCATCAGAACTGATTCTCCTCTTCTTCTAACTTTATCTACTATAATTATTTAATCCCAGATTTCTCCATTGTCTGGCAAAATTCAATTAAACTTTTCCTGGTTGATTGCTAGTTAGGGAGTAAAACTTTTCTTCAAGTCTAATAGGGCAGGTATTGAACCAATTGAGACAGAAAGCTAATGTCATACAGAAATATTATAATTTAGAGCCATCGTTTATTAGTTATGTGGCTAGGAACATTATCTCTAAGTCTATCTCAACTGAAAACTCAATAATTTATAAATAACAGTGGCAATGCTATCATAAACACGTGATGGAATATGTTTGTAAGGCATGATCTGGTTATAGTCATGTGCTCAAGCAATGCTAGGTATTCCATTCCATAGTCTCCCCTATCAGGATTCTTCTAAGAAAAATTTCAAAAGCACAGATATTGATGTTTGATAGTATCAACTGAATATTTAATTTTAAAAACAATAATATAGTATTCTGCTTAGCAATCTTGGAAATATTAAATAAGACATTTGAAGCAAGGCATTGGTGGCACATGCCTTCAATCCCAGCACCTGGGAGGCAAAGGCAGGCAGACTCTGTGAGTTCAAGGCCAACATGTTCTACAAAGCAAGTTTTAGGACAGCCAGGATTATTATACAGAGAAACATTGTCTCAAAATATCAAAATATTCTTCCCACACTTTCTTTTTGTTTCTTGGATTCTACATGTTATACATAAAACAAATCCATGTTAAAGTTTTTTCAATAAACAGGAAGCTTTTATTCCTTAAAAAAAAAAAAAGACAAATGGCATTTTATGACCTAAATATAACTATCAAGTTAAGGTATGGAAATGTTTCCATCCAGCCTGGCTATATGATAATGAGAGACTAGGCCTGGTTCTCACTGCCACTGTCCAGCCCTCATGAAAGAAGATGTCTCAAACCACATTCAAACTACCTTAAAAAAAAGTGAACAATTTTCAGACAAAACATTTCTGCATTTGGCATGCCAACCTAACACAAGATTCAGCAGACTCTTACAGTTTTCAAAGGCTTGATAGACAGAAGGGGAGGATTCCTTTACATTTTAATTAATGCATGACTACAAAAAAATGGGCAGCAGATGAAAAAGTGGAAAGCACTGTGTGTGTGTGTGTGTGTGTGTGTGTGTGTGTGTGTGTGTGTGTGTGTGTGTAGTATGCAAGGCTAATGCTTAAGGCTGATGTCTGTAAGTGCAAATATACTCTAGGTTCATGAAAACTCACTGGCCTATGTAATTCAAATGATACTCTTTTTTGTGCAATGCTGCATAGGAAAGATAATAAAATAATAAAATATCTCGTTATTCTATAGAATTTATCAATAAAAAGGCTTTGTTCCATTTTCTTGTATTTCTGAAAATACTAAAACAAAAAAATAATAAATTGTAAGTTATATCACAAAGCACCAGAGGTAAGTAATCTGAAGTGTTTTTAAAGAAGACTTCAGAAAGAATAATCAAAAATCTAGATATAGTCTCTTCTCTGGAGTTTCTCTTCTCTGGAGTTTCTTGTAATGCAACACTTAAGATTTTTAGTAGATAGAAGACAATGAACCCCATCTTTAAAAAAAAAAAAAAAAGAAAGAAAAGCTATTGCCATTTAAAAGCAACACTTTAATGTATTTACTGAGATAGTCTTTTCTAGGCTAACCAAGTACAACTAATTTTACCACAAAACATTAACTTTTTTGTATACTACTACACATTCTCCCACTTCTAATACAGAACACTCTTGGCATGGCACAAAAATTTGTGCAGTGCTGTTTGGGTAAATATGTATAGCCACATTCATTTCATATTTCAATTGTGATTTGAAATGAAAATATTTCACTTGTTTTTGTGGATGAAGTTTCCAAACTTTTGCATAAATCCTCGGAACTTGTTTTCATTGGGGGAGTATGAATGATAAGCACCAGTCTTGTAATTCAGCATTGGGCTCGACCTGCCGTAATTGCTACCCATAGCTGTGGGTTTGACTTCTGGGCGGTTGACATGTGCGTTTGTTACGCTGCCTGCTGTCTGGATAGAGCTCTCAATCTTACAAAATGGCTCAAATCGACTGTAAACTCGCTGGTTTGTTGAATGAGATCTTAGAAGCTCACTAGACTTTGGCACTAGAGAAGAGGTTGGCCGTCTTTGAGGGGCAATGACTGCATTGGTCTCCTTGGAATCACGGTATTGGATCTGTTCTGTGTTAAATCTTGGGGCAGAGGCATCTCCTGCTCTCTCTGAAAGCCTCCTTTGGACGGTTGGAGAATGTGCTGTTCTCCTACTTTCCTCTGCTTGGGAATTTATCCCTGGAGATGAGCTAACGGCTATGTCCTCCTTGCTCTTGTGGATGCTGCCTTGAGAGTTTGATGAGGAGGAGCGCTTTCTTCTAGGAGATGAATCAATTCGGGGCTCGGATTTTTTGGGCTTCTGATTCTCTTCACCCTCAGAAACCAGCGTGTCAGAACTACTACACATCCTGTAAAACGCAGGTGCCTTGTTCTTAGATAGGGTTTCTCTCTTTTCTGGAGTGAGACTAAGTAAGGATCTTAATTTCTGAGATCCCTTTTTCAAAAAGCTTGGGGAGCCTTTAACGTCCTTCTTAGAAGTAAGTTCTTTATGAGGGTCCTCTTTGTTCATTTCAAGCAAAGCAGCAATGGAAATAGATTTGGTGGCCGAGCTACTTGGGGGGTTTCTCTTGATAGCCTCCTCTTCCTCCTCATCCGTGCTGTGGGTCACATTGTGCATACTTTTAGAAGTCTTCAGCACGTCCTCCTTGGGTTTTTCCGGTTGTCTAACCCGATTTCTGGTAAGGGTACTATACACATAATTCTTGCTATTCCCATGGTCTAAATTGACTTTTGAGTGGTCAAAGGACGGGAAACTTCGCCTTTTGAGCAGGTTCTCGCTTGGCTGATTTTTTGTGTTCTCCTTCTGCTTATTTACACACAGGTTTGTGTATATACAGTTGTTTAATTCTGCTCGGCCATTTGTTGTTTGGTTTAAGATTGCTGGTTGCCTTTCGGGAACCTGCAAGCTCTGCATTTTTGGTTCCTCTGACTGTGTTGGAAGCTTGGGAATTGATTCAGGCAAGGGTTTTTCTGTCAAGGGCGGTGCACCGGTGGAGCTCTCTTGGACCTCACTATGCACAGCACTTCCTTGAGAACCTATGATGGTGGAATTTGAGGATCCGGTTGTACAGCTGTTGACTTCTTTTTGTTCAGGTAAAGTTGGTTTAAACACAAATGAGGAACGAAGTCTCGAATGAGTATAGAGCGCATTGGCTTTCACGCTCTCGGGATTGTCGTAGCCTTCAAATCTGTCACCCAGAGTGGAGCCATTTGAATCAGGTGGGACTTCTGAATTATCATTTAAGTAGGAGTCAATTCTCCAGCTTCGCAGGAAAGACTTTGTGGTATTCTCCAGAGTTGGCATCCGTTGCTGTAGAGAACGGATATGATTATCTGTCCCATTAAATGACCTCCGCACATTTGAGTTCCTTTCTGCAAGGTTTGTTGTTTTTCTCTGGGCAAGCCGATCAGCAAAGCTCTGTGCAGGTATGTCTGTCTGGCTTGCCTGGCCTCCGCGTAATGAGGATGCCACACTGAGAGTGTCTGAAGGCCTTCTCCAGTGCCCAGGAGGGTTATTAGTCCGATTCAGGGCTCTGTTGAGCAGCAGGTATGGCGTTGTTTCTGGTTGTTCCCCAGCATAACTATGCCTTTTCCAGTTTTCATTGATCTGATTGGGTTGGAAGTGACGGATTGCATTTGGACCATTGAAGTTTGGAACAAAATGAGGCTTGTATCCATGATTTCTCATGCTGTGTTTGTCATACTCATTCAGGGTATATATCCCTCTGCCTTTGAAGAAACTAGAATCTATGTTATGAATTTGGTCTTGTCTACCAAAAAGGTTTCTTTGGCTGGACACTGAAGCCAATGAAGAAATGGATCGCTGGTAAATGCCATTCTCCCACAGAGCTTTGCCTGGCTTCACCCTTGCAGATTCTTCCTGAGCAAAAGAACTTGGGACACAGGACCTGGCATAAAGTGTGCGGAATTCTTCATCAAATAACTCTACAAGGTGTCCTGTGATTATCTGAACCATGCTGAGATGAGCCTTTTCAAATGACCACATGTAGCTGAAAACGAAAGAAAAACAACAAATTTAATTTTGGTGAAAGATTAATGTTAGGGGGTATGGGAGGGAGAGGTAACTGGGATTGATATATAAAATAAGACTGTTTCTAATTTAAATCAAATAAATAAAAAAAGAATTCCTGTTCTTGTTTTTCTTGGTTAGCATAATTGATAGTACTTTTATCATTATATACTACTAATAAATACATATATATCTTCTTAAGTAACAGAAAAATTTGACTCTGATATTGTCCATTCAAATATATTTTATACTATTTTCTGAAAGCCAAAAGAAAAGTTGGTTGTATATTTTGCATCTACATTTACCAAGATATCATGGAGTTAGAACTACATTAATCGAATTCTGACAGAATTGAAAGAGAACGATCAAAATATAATACATAGTAGCTACTTTCAATAATGGGATATAAATGACAGTTAAAAACACTACAGAATAACAGGATTGTAACAGAAACATTTAGAACATCTAGTAATGTACAATATACATTCTTGTGAGTCTATAAAAATGTCTCTGGGACAGGCTATCTTTAAACCAAAAGTAGATCTTAACAAGGAAATGAAGATTTGAATCATCAAAATATCTATTCTGATTCTAGTAGAGGGAAATCAACAGTAGACGGAAAATTAGAAAATTTCTATCTCATGCTGAGCTATAAATAAGCAACTCAGAAAGAGACAGAGAAAGAAAAACAAGGGAAAATGGGATTTAGGCAAATATGCATCAAAGCACAAGAAACATGGACTATGCTGGGAATTGAGTTTGTGCCCCTGTCATAGGCCCTGATAGCCTGGGTTGCGCATAACTCATTGTCGTAACGTAACTGAGCATTTGGGGAAATCATTCATGTGATTAAAACTGTGCAATCAACTGTAAAACAAGAGCAATTCATAGAAGAGAAGTTGATGAATGGGGAAAACAAGCAAGCAAGCAAAACCAAACAAGCAAAAACAGAAACAAAACAAAACAAAAAACCACCAACCAACCAAACAATCAGAAAATCCAATCCAAGCCTTTGGGAGTGAGAGTCAGGTGATTCCTGGGCCAATGAGATATGCTTAACACACACACACACACACACACACACACACACACACATACGCACGCACACACGCACACACGCACGCGCACACACACAGACAAATAAAAATAAAACCACTAAAAGGGATGGTCCTGGGAAAGGCATCCAAGTCCCTGGGCTTACAAATGTAACTGCACCTAACTTGCTAACACATGTGCACACAAATGAAACAAAAATAAAATGGCTATTAATTTGTGATGGAAAATGAAATACTTCACCAACTCAGTTTTGACCCAGTTTCAATAATGTGAACCTGGACTTCTCATGTACTAGAAATTTGTGATAATACTGGAAGAATGGAGACAAAGAAGGGAAGTGGACACAGGCGGGTAGGACCTATACTTCAGTACCATGAAACAGGAAGAGATAGTAACAAAAATTCAGGAATTGGAAAAGTCAGTCTAATGAGATTATTTAAGAGATTTGAGTCATTATCAAAAGACAAAGTAAAGGAAATTGAGTATAGAGGCCAAGATCAAGGGCTATTGATATATTTGATCAAATATATTTGATATATTTGAGATATTTTGATATATCTTTAATATTATTTATATATTAAAAACACAACTATATTTACTTGGGTTAAAAAATACTTTCTGACCTCCTAACAGGACATCGTACATCAGTCATGAACTGATGAATGTAGTTATTGATTCACATACCAAAAGTGACTTAAGAAGCTGGGCTCCTGGCAAGGGGTTAAAAACTAAAGGTAATGGGATTCAAGTAGGAAGAGTATATTGGTCGTAGCATGAATCTCAGATGTGACCAGCTTCATGCCTGATTAAAAATGGCACCTTGGAGAAACCAACTTTAGTGAAACTCTTGTAAATTTTACAGTGATCATACTATTTCAAAGGTAGGAGCTTATAATAATTTCAATGGGGCTTAGAGGCTCACATCTGTAACCACTGCAGTCAGCAGAACAAAGTCAGGAGGAACATAAGTTGGAAGCCCTGTTTATAAGAAACAAAAAAACTCTTTCTGAGTTTAATTTATTTAAAATACCTTATAAATATCTTCAAAATATCCCTTACAATTTTAGGTGGGGATACCAAATTCAAAATATTATTTATACTCATTTTCTATAAGATATGTGTTTTATATATTAAATGATTGTGTTTTCCTGTGAAGCTACCATTATGTGAGCTGTTGCACACATGTGGCCTTGATGACTGCAGACTCTTGGCATTTCTGCCTAAATGATTCCACGGTGGGGAGAGGGTTATCAATTAACAACGACATCTTCAGTTGAGTGTGGTGGTATGCACCTGGAATCTCAATATTGGCCAGGCAAAATCTAGAAAATTGGGAATTTAAGGGCAAGCGAGACTATATAGCTAGTTCACAGGCAACCTGGGCAATAAAGTAATACTTTTTCTATAAAAAAAAGTAAATAAAAAGAACCAAATAAAGAAAAGGAGGGAGGAAAAGAGGAAATGGAATAAGATAAGGAGAAAACAAGAAAAATAAATACAAGGTTACCCGCAAGGAAGATGGTAAGATGATATACTGTAGTATAAGGAACTCAAGCTCCATTAACTAGAAGGAAATAAGTTTTGACCAAAGTGGTTCATAACTATTATAACGGAAGTATTGTTTTTAAAGATGTGAAACAGCCAAGATGTACAGGAGAGAGGGCTTAGCAGTTAAACACCCTTACTGCTCACCTAGGGGACCTGAGCATGGTTCAGCAGGAGGTGAACAAGATCAACAACATGGATGAGGGAAAGCCAATGAGGTTTCAGACCTACACAAAAATTACAGGTAACTAAGGAATGCTGAGAGCAGAACAGCCTTCCCTGGGGAAGAGCACACCCTTTGTTCACTCAGTTTCAGCTCTGGAAACACACATACAAGTAATATTACATAGACTGAGCAGGTTGTTTTTATGTAGCTAGGAATACATACGTGTGTGTGTGTGTAGGGAAGAAAGGGGAGGGGATGATGTGATTTTGCTACAATCTCAAAAATGAAAAGAAATTAAAAAAATTAAGGAAACAAACAGGAAGGTGAAGATTGATTTAATGGAGGGTGAGGGTATAGACAAGAAACATTCCATGTACAACATATACTTGAGCGTACTATATAGCAGTTCTCTGTTGTACAACAAATGATACAGGGAAAATAGAAAACAGAAGTGACAATGACTTACAACTAATGATTTTTAAAAGAAATTTACTTAAAATGATCTTGAAATAATATATAGAGAATGGAGTTACTAGGAAGAGATTTAGATGAATCATGATATTTCCTGCTCTTAGAAACTCCATATTCTCCTCCACTCCTCCCCACCGGCTGGGTTACAATGGCTTTCTAGATTTGGTTTAGCTTGATTTTGGTTATTCTTTTTTTTTTTAAATTAAAGTGAATTTATTTATTTATTCATTTATTTACTCATATCAACCTAAGTAGCTCAGCTCCAGTCATCACAACATTTAATTACTAATTCTTGTTGGCAGCAGCAAAGAGGTAAATTCAGTTTTGAAAATATTGTTAAACATCAAGCCAAAGAATAGAAATGGAAAAAAACAATTGTGATGTACTTGAACATGAAACAACATGTATAAGTAAACTCTATCTTAATTAAGAACTCAATTAAAAACCCTCTAAAACTAAGTGTGTCTGAGCAAATATATACAAATATAATGAGACTTTTAAATGACTCATTAATTTCAAGCACTAGTTGTAATTTCTGGTCTTTACAAGTTTTCATTTGGAACCCCAAACAGCTTTAAAGGAGAGCAGATCCCTCAAGCAGAAAAACAATAAAAGACAGTCCAAAAATAATAGTTAACATTATTGTTTGGGAGATGATTTATATGCAATGTAGTGTGTTTCAAGTTCATGCTGATTTTATATGAATAAAGGAAAGTATAAATTGAGCCATTTGCTCAAGAGTTCAAGGTGTTATTTCTTTATGGATATTTATCAAAGGGCAAAGGCTCTGCTGTTCCAGCCTGTTCACTTCCGCAGCTTTTTGGAGTCACGCCAATGTCTCTATGATAGATAGGTCTACAACAACTTAGTGACCTGGACTTTAGAAGCATTTGTTGCAGTTTTTATTTGTTTATATAAATACACTATGTGTCACATTTAGGAATAATGCCTTACTGGACATTATTGAGCAATTACTAGGCAATGTCTATACTCCAGATCAGCCTGGCCAAGATAGGGTTACAGTTCTGGTTTTCTCAGATATTGAACAATCCTTCAGGAACATTTCCAGGCCTACTCTTCAAAGTGCTAAAAAACTCCTGTTGTTTTTTGAGCAATACTTTTTAATGCTGTTTTGTTTCTATAGATGTCTGATATTTTATTCATTGATTCTTTATTTTGTGCATGTGTATGTGTGAGCATGTGTATGTGTGATGTGAGTATGTGTGTGTGTTCATGTATGTCACAGTGTGCATGTGGATGCCACTTGTGAGCTGCTCACTGTTTTGATGAAGAACCCGAAGCCAAGTTACAGAATTGGCCATAGTCACGTGAGCAGTTTAAGGATAAGGAAGATGTTAAACAAAGCCTAAGTCTCCAAATCTCCAAACTCTAGATTATGAATAATTTTTCATATTTTAAAAAGGATTTTTAAAAATGTATATTTATGTGTATATATGTGGGTTTATAAATTTGAGTGAAGTTTTAGAAAAGGCCAGAAGAGGGCTTAGATCACCCCAGGGTTGGAGTTAATAGTGGTTGTGAGCTTTACAAGATGGGTGCTTAAAACCAACTCAGGTCCTCTGTAAGAGTAACAACTGCTGAACATCCCCCAGCCTCTTTTTTTTTCCTTAGTTTTAAGATACAGCTAAGTAGATTATGCTAAAATCTCAAAGTAATAACTTATTTGAATTGATGGAAATGCTTAAAGTATATGCAATATTCTTACCTGTAAGAACCGTACATCACTTTTTGGCAGTCAACTAACAAAAATTTTTGCTCCATTTTCCCATGGAATTTTGCCCCTGTTCTTGAAAGATAATCTTGGCCTTTTACTGTCCGTACTCGAATGTTCTACAATGTAAACATAACGTAAAATTATATCTATAAGTGAGACATTTTCAAAAGTAAATAAAGAACAATGTAAAACATATAAAAAACATTTGTTTATTTTTGAGGCAGGGTTTCTCTGTGTAACAGTTCTGACTGTTTTGGAATTCACTTTGTAGACCAGGATGGCCTTGAACTCACAGAGATTCACCTGCTTCTGCCTCCCAAGTGCTACAATTAAAGGTATGCATCATCACTGCCAGGCCCAAAAACACTTATTTGAAACAAAATTTTAAAACACAGGAAAATTCATTACAGAAAATCGCAAAAATTTCCCTGATTAAATAAATACTCAAGGAAAAAGAACTATTTCACAATATATTTTACACAGCTTAAATGGACACATTTTCTGTTTAAACAGAATAGTTACATACATGACACTAGATCTCACTGTGAGAAATATTGAGTACAATAGCATGAGAACTTTTTCGCAAGTTAAATGTAACTGAAACACTAATTCAATTACTTTGACATTGCAATACATCAAATTATAGGATCGCTTGTCAGAGGTTTCAGAGTTCTGTATGTGAAACAGAATCACTAAATTATTCCTGGTGGCAACTAATTCTGGCAAAGAGTGCCCAAGAATTCTCTATAAAGAATTACATTCCAGAAGGAGCAGTTCTCCAATCTTCCAATCATTACTCTGTCTTCATTGTTTTGTCTTCTTTTAAATTTTGGTTTAACTTATCAATTCAAATTTGAATGGAATGAAAATGGTCAAGAAAAGTCCTTGAGGAAAAAAAAAAGTTGAATTCTTACCCTGAGACGTTGAATTTGACAACCCTGTTTCTCAGTCATAGTTAGAAAATGATTAAAATTTGACTCATCAAGTAAAATATATACAGATATTCCTCGTGTTGATGCCTCTACTATTTCTTTGAAAATATCCACATCAGTAAATATATCCATCACTATAGCAATGACCTGTTAAAGACAAATTATGAGACAGTTTTAGAAACGTAATAAATATTATAAAAATTCTTAGTTTCAGTAGAAATAAAATAAAATAGAAAACAATTAAACACATGACATAGAAATGCATAAATGTGTGTGTGAGTGTCATTTCTAAAGTACATGACAATGAATATAAACAAAAATAAAACATGTATAATTCTATAACTTGGCAATCTTCGTATCAGTCTAGGATAATGGAAACCTACATCTCAGTCACATCTGCAAATCCCAACATGGTCTCCATATCTGTTCATAAAAAAAAGATAGCAAGGAAGTTTTTAAGTTTTTCTTGGAAGGTATCCAGGCAAAGGTGGAATTATAGAAACTATTTGAAGAATGACAGTGTTGAAAGACTGGAAGTGAAGATTATCTATGAATGAATAGGAAACAGAAATAAAGAAGACAAAGGAGTGTGAAGAACAGAGCATTATATCCATGCACCTGAAATTAGCTGAATAGACAAAACTAGCAAAAATTAAATCAAACAACAAAAATCAACAACACTAAACCAAACAGTCAAAGGTCCATATGACAAAGAAAGACATGGCCTTAAAAACCAAGCCTCTAAATTGGAGTGCATCTGGGCTCCTTGCTGAGGGAGGTGAGATGCCAGAAGTACAGAGAGTGAAATGTTTGAAGTAAAAGAAAATGGCCTAATTGGACTTAGCATTTACAGTGCCAAACATACTTGGTGACAACTTATAATGTGATAGGTAGTAAGACAAAATCTCCAACCTTGTAAATCTTGCACTAACATGGAGAAAGACATTTCTGAGGGTCATAGAGCAGCAGGTATAAGAGATCAGGGTTTCCTGGCACCAAGGAGAGGTGTGACAGACTCAGCATAGGAGTCCCAGAGACAGAGTTTGCTTTAAATGAAGTATGGCTATCCATGTTGCTAACTTGAGGAAGAAGTGTGGAAGAACAAAATTGGTTTTTTTACCCCTATATAACATTTAGGCAGAACACTGGACCATCCTGAAATTATATGAGATGGTGACTTTATTGAGATTGCCTGTAAAATACATCGCAGGCAGGCTTGAGGGATGCAGATTCTCTTGCTCTAGGTCCCCACCATTTCTTTCCTGTATATCAACGGTTGTGAGGGTCCAGAGGAATAGGAGAGCAAGGAAAAACCATCTCACTTGTTATCTTGAGGATATTCTTCATGATCTCAAGTATATGATGTGGAAAAATGACATTCATGGGTGTTAATTCATTTACTATACTTTAATAAGTTATTTGATGAATATGAATGCTAGAAAGTATTTAAAAATTCATGTTTTATAAAACAAATTCTAAAATGTATTTCTGACATAGTCTGACAGTACTTTTAAGCTAGAAAACAGTTTAAAAAAGGAAACATTACTATACAAAATATTTTTAACCAGTATATATGAAGCCATTTTAATTTACCAGCAATTCTCATGTAACAAGTTATTTTAGATTTTGAAAATGATCAAAAGCACATTTCACAGGATTTTGTTTGCAAAAGTAATTGAAATCCCTCAGCCAGTGAATGATTCAATCACACCAAAAGTAGAACAAATGCCTGTCTTTCTTATGTGATGATAAGAGACTAACTCAAGACCTAGATAGTAGATTATATATCTTCAATAAGCTTATCTGTGTCCAGCCAAGTTTGGCAGCTTCCCAGACATCTGTTTTCTGTCCCCTTACTCAGTGTTTGGAAGTTATGTGAGCTCTACAAAGCTTTAACTGGGCTGCAGAAGGCTACATAACATGAACTGTGCTGTGTGGGGATTAGGCTTGGTATGGAACATTGACCAGAAGTGATGTATGCTCAACTTGACCTGAATACATTGCATGCTCACTGTACTTTAGAAAATGACCACAATGACTACATTTAATCAAAGAAGTATAGAAATATTACATCTAGATTTGATATGAAATACAATACAAATTCAGAAAAGAGAATATCAGTCATTACAGCCTAGCAGGAAAAAAAAATGTGTCTTATAGAGGTATGTATAATGAGAATGGCTATTCTACAGATTTATGTGCAAGGAGGGTTGTAAAACCTCCTTTATGGATAATGTCATGATGTTCATCTTTATAAGTATATTAAGAGTAAGCTTGCTGTCTCAGTTACTGTTCTATTACTCAGTTACTCAGAGACATTGTGAACAAGGCAACTCCTATGAAAGAAAGCATTTAATTGGCAGCATGCTTATTGCTTTAGAATGTTACTCCAGGAGTATCATGGTAGGAAGCAGACAGACAGAGCACTGGAGCAATAGCTGGGGGTTTTACATCTGGATCCATAGGCACCAAGCATAGGAAAAACCAGACTGGGCCTGCCGTGGGCCTTTGAAGATTCAGCCCACTCTCAGTGATTCACCTCCTCCAATGAGGATACACCTACTCCTACAAGGCCAAGGTTCCACCTTCCAATCCTTTTTCAATAGTTTCACTAAGTGGGGTATTCAAACATAACAAACATGGAGACTTTTTTTTTAAATTCAAACTAACACATGCATAGTGCAAATCAGTGATACAGTTTTTTTTTTTAATGTCTGTTTAAAAAAAAAATTGTCCACTATGATGCTGAAGACAAATTCCTAATTTTTTTCAGAAAAATGTTTCTAGGTTCTCGATTGCCAGGATTTTCTTTTGAGTCTCATTTTGTTTCTTCTGTGCAGCCTGCTAGCAATATGCTTTCCTAGGGCCTATTTACTTACTAACACACAGCTGTAGCCTGGGTTAATGTTCTTCAGTCACTTAATTGCCACCACCATTTCAAAATGCCTCATTATAGGTATTCTGAGTTACTGGTAATCACCTGAAGTGAAGCAGGAGGATTTTTTTTTCTGGCAGAAGAAACAGAATAATTTGTAAAGATAAAAGGATTAATGATATTTTATAAAAAGTAGAATAAAGTTGAACACAAGTGAAAACTTTTAAGAATTGTGTAATAGTAATCAAGGAAAATGATGACCTAAGGGATATATATTTCTAAGTCTGTAAAAACCTGCCAAAAATTATGAGCTAATGGGTTTAAAAAAAAAAGAAAGAAAAAAAAAAAAACAGAGCTGATATGGGGAACAAATGTCCCTGGCCAACAGCTAAAGTAAGAAGTAATAGCTTGTAACTGTATATCATCTACTCAGATTTGTCATAAATTAAATGGAAAAGTCACTGAAATGATTCTATAATAAATCAACTAAACTAGAGATCTTATGTGCATTAAATTCTAAAATTCTTTGTTACAGCAACTCTTTTCTACTCTTGATAATGATAATTAAATTAATGTAAACAGAACTTCTATCCTGAAATATGATAGCTCCATTCTCACATCTGTAAGAATTAAATTATCCTAGAGATTTCAGAATTGATTCAAAATTAATTTACATAATGCAAACCAAGCCTCATGTCTACAGTTCAAATGATCTAAAGTACGTAAAGAAACATTATTTCATTTTTCTTTAAAAACTAAGAAGATATAATGTACATTGTTTACAGAAGTCTAAACTATAACTAATTGACAAAAGTGAGAAAAATGTAGATGTAGAATATGTAATAAAAGCTAACTGAAGGAAAAGGAAGCACTATGGCAATACAAAACAGATACATATATATGGCAACTCAAGAGATAATCTGAGAAGGATTTCCCACATTATTTGCATAATATAGGATCCAAAGTGCTTAATGTAAATAAATACAAGATTTTTGCTTTTAGCTTTATTTTACTTGAGCATATTTTTATATCATCTCTGTACAAGTAAGCGTCTTTACTTTTTGAAAATAACTTTAATGGGGACTTGAAAATGAATCATGAGGAAAGAGAGAAGGCATAAATGAAACTGGAAAGAACCCATAGTCCTTCCTCTGATTTAGAAAATTCAATCATTTTGCATGCTCTAATTTCTTCATACTTCTCCCAAATTGACTTTTTCTGAAACTTGGACTGGGAAGTATACTTGGCATGGGCTCTCAAACCAATTGTGTCAGAGGTCTTTGACAAAGAAGGCAGTGGAGGGGGAAAAACTGACCTCAAGACCTCTACCTCTACTTTCTACCAAGATAATCTAGCTATGTTATCACATACTTTGCCTTAGAAAACCTCACAGGGGACTCTGTGGAAAAGCAAAGGCTAGAGGAGCAGAAAGGGAGAGGAGGAAGCACCAAAGCAGATTCTGTCCTACCAAAACTCAATCAATTAAAATGCTTCCAACTGGGTACACACCAGTTCTAGGAACATCAAAGGAATGTTCTAGAAATAGAGTCTTCTTACCAGTCACAAAATCCAAGTCTAATGGGATAGAAGCCTTATTAAACACAAGGCCACAAAATATAATACTTGCGGAAGAAAGCATGCCAGAAATAAGTCAGAACCATGGGATGAGCAAAAGATTTTGGACAACAGCCTAAACTATAAATCAACTTTGAATAATAACTTTTTAAAAGTGCCAAATATGACTTGGTTCTCCTATTTCAATGTGTGAATATGAAGCTCTTCAAATATAGACAAAGGACACCATATTACTAAAACAACATAAAAAATAAAAATCTCCATAAAACATTTGTAAACAAAGGAAATCAAACTGGAGAATTAATCAAAATGAAGGAAAATATATTTGCTATCTACATGTCTAAGAAGGGGATGTCATCTAGACATGTAAGAAACTCCAAAATATAAAAGCAGAAAGATAAAAGCCTGATATGAAAATAGGCAACAGAATAAAACAACATTTACCAGATTTTAATACAAATATTTAATAGGTACAAAATAGTTAATAGGTAGTAAAACTGTTCAACATTACTACTGGTCAAAGAAATATGTATTAAAATCATAATGAGATATTTCCTCATACCAGTAAAAATCAGTATTATCAAAATATAAACTATATCAAGTGATAGTATGGATATGGAGGGTTACTTTCTCTGCCTGGTTACATGGGTAACCAGGGGCAGGCCTGGGTCCTGCCCCAAATAATGTGTCAGACTTT